TAAAAGGAACAATAGCGGTCCTAGATTAGATCCCTGAGCCACACCTGATGTGGGAGTATATGCTACAACTTGAATTCTATTTGATAGGTACGAGTGCATCAATGAAACTAAATCATTGGACAAACCTGCAACTTTGATAAAAGGATGAAATGATCAATTGAGTCAAAAGCTTTTCTAAAATCTGTATATATGACGTCTACCTGTCCTTGGAATCCAATACCTCAGAAACAAATTGTGTAACAGAATCCAAATTAGTGACTCTAGCATTCCATTGTATAAAGAGATGAAGTTCTCTACGGAAAGTTTAGCGAACAGTTCCAGAGTTGTACGCGTTATTCACGATATCAAAGTCAGCAACAACTGCCGGGTGATGCCTATCTTCGTTAACCAGATAATGATTGTCATCCAGCTTCAACTTTATTTTTTCTAACGGACGCCATATTGGATTTAGAGTTTTTAATTCTGAATTCAAAAATATAATTTGTCATATTTTGATATTGTCAAACCTTAGTTATTTAAAAAAAAATGATTTTTCTAAGTATTCCTTGAAATTATCAGATAGTCATTTGTTTGGTGTACCGGATTTATTGAAAAATCGTTGTTTATTTCCTGATTTTATTTGAAATGGGATTTAAAATAAATTGCATATTAGTACAGCTGAGTGTCCGCCTGCCATAAGTGTGAATATTGCAGTGTTGAAGGCAAGCATATATTAATCAAACGTATAAACTATGTAGAGTAAGGGACCCAACACGGAGCCACGTTCTGGGTATGATTATTCAAATATGATACGAAGAAATGTAGTTGCTTATCAGAAAAGCCGTAAAATGTCAGCTTAATCAAGAGGATAAAATGATATACCATGTCAAATGCCTTAGAGAAGTCTAGCAGAATCAGAGTAATTGATCAATACCTCACATATAGCTTGTTTTATTCCATTTCAACGTCGAACTATCCTTATTGGAAAACATATGAGAAAATTAGTTATATTTATGTTTTATGCGCTTTACTTAAAGTTGTATTTTGCTGTGAGATAGCGCAATCAGCCTTTTTTAACATCCGACCACATAAGAGAAGTGTAATATCTGTAACGTGTATATCTGAGTAACGGGTTAATCGATTTTTATTTTATTTCTTTGAAAGATCATTTAATCCTAAAAGTTCTTAGCTATGGTGTAAGAAAATTTGTTCGGCCGTCTGAAGTCGGGAGTTTCAAAAATATCTAATTTCTACCTGTTGCCTTAGATGATATCATTGCTTACAATTTTCCAGCAGAAAAACGACCAAGAAGATTCCGAAATGAGCGAAAAAGAGAAATATACCGAGAAATCGGACACGAGTCGATCGAACGATAACGAAGAAGAGGAGGAGGATGACCAAGTGGACTCGAAGACGCTCAAATGCCAGTTCCAGTCGATGCAGGCGGAACTGAAAAGACGCATCGAGGCGCTCGAGTCCATTCTACTACGAAGGAGTCGTACATGACCGAGTTAAGCCGATGTCTGGCTGAGGAGAAGGAGCTGTCACTGCAGAGACGGGTGGAGGCTGAGCAGTTTGAAGCAGGAGTTGGAGCAGCAGACGAAGGAAATCTGTAATGAGAGCCAGCAGTACAAAGATAAAATTGGTTAGTATGATGGATCCACAGGCTTAATATCTCAACACCTTGGTTGGTTGCGAATCGACAATCATCTGTACTCTATCCAAATCTACAGTAGGGTGGTTGTTTACACTGTCATGCACTACGCCCCCGATACTTCAAATCTGAACACCCGATTTCACCCTGTACTGGTCGTGTTGCTGGCGGACCAAGCGATCGATATCGAATAGACCAAAGGTTATACAATTAGGAAGTTTCCTGTAGACGAAAATACTGCTAGTTTCACTTGCATATAATAGTAGAACTCGTATCTTCCATAAGAAAGATTATTCCGCTAACATGTAATTTAAGGAAATCATTACATTTTTGTCTTGGGTGTGTTGCCGACTGCCCTCGCGCGTCGAGGTTATTTCGTGGCGTTACACGACATCAGCGCTCAACTGACAAGTCGCAACATATTGCTAAGAAGCATAGACTGGGATATTATAAATATTCAATAAATAAAATTTTTATGTACCGATTTCACTAATCCTCCAAAGTTTGGCATAATTGTTAATTGTTAAACATACTATGCCAAAATGTTTGGCAAAACTCCTAAAATATCTTCAAAATTAGTAAGATTCACTAAATTTTACAAAAAAAAATCATATTTTATGTTTTACAGGTAGCTAATAATATCCATGTGTCAAAGATCAAAATAGCGGATTTAATATGGTGTAAATATTTACAAAAAATGTTTTTCAAATTTTTAGATGTTTTCAGGGTCACTAATAACAATTTTGATATCGATTGGTCAAAAATCGAAATTGCGGTTCTAATATGGTGGCTATGTGAAAAATGCTTTGATTGCGTTCAAATTTAAATTTCAACTACTTTTAGGATCGCTAGTGACGAATTTAATATATCGATTCTTAAAAAATCTAAATGGTAAATTCAGTATGATGGCTATGTTTGCAACAAATTTGTCGATTCCGCTCAAATTACAGTTTATATGTTTTCGGGATATAATTTATGTATAATGCCGCATAGTTGCCTAAATTATAGTCAGCTCCAACCAAAATTGACATATTTCTTAACTGGATGTCTAACAGACATGGTACTGTTCAAAATAGAGCGGACTGTACCCCATTCGTAGTCCATTTATGCCCAGACAAAACACAACATGCCCAAAAGCGAGGTTGTGCAGGTCAGTATTTTCTTGGAATTATCTAAAATAAATAAATTTGAACATTGATCATATTGTCCAGATCCCACATCTTTGTTTCGATTGTCTCTTGAACGTGACGGATGCAGTCTTTCCAGTGGTTTGCCGTCACTCTGTTGACAGCTTCATAAAACAAATATTTCACGTGAGAAAATTTGAATGTTGTATTGTTTGAAGCCACATAGTTTGTTATATTTGTCCAAATCATTTCAATAGGATTTAGTTCGATAAGGGGGTAGCCTTAAAACAGTCTTATTTTGGTTTTTAGCAGTTTCGTCAATAACATTAAGATTATATTTATAATTGTGCTGCCTGGCTAGATGGATAAGTTCTGCTTTGACCATATTTTTATTGAAACTAATGTCTTTTGTTAGAAGCCATTGATGAATTTCTGCCTTTCTTGTGGACATTGTGGGAATTTTTTCTAGGTTCTAGTGTTGTATGCAGCATTATCAAGTACAGTGACGGCATTGTCATCAAGCTTTGGGAGCGTTTCTTCAAACCACCGTTCAAATGAACTCTCGTCTGTTTCTTCATGTTAGTCGGTTGTTTTCTTTGACTCATATGCCCATAGGGCAGTGGGCACAAAGCCATCTTCACTGCCAATGTGACAGATAACAAATCGTTTTCCTTCTCCTGGAAATAATTATTTCACATAGTAATCAAGAAAACTAATAATAATACAAGCAGATCATCTACCAGATAGCGCTAAGTTTAGTGTAGCTAAGTTTCCAGCATGGGCTCATAGACTCAGTCTACTTGACACCATTTTTACAACATAAATGACGAATTGGTTAGATACACGTACCTGACGGATTCTTTAAGCCAGTGGTTAGTCTATCTAAGAACGTTTGTCTTGCTGATTTAATTGTAGAGTAAGCTCATACTTTAGGTGTTGTATGTCCTGCATTTATCCAGGTTTCATCCAAGTAATAAATCTTCCTGCCCTGGTCGCGGTATTTCTTTATTGATTTTAAATAATTTCTTCTTCGTAAAATATTCTCTTGACTATCCATCAAAATACTATTTCTGTCCCGTTTTCTATACTCAAAATGAAGTTCTTTGAGTATAGAATATTTTCCTTTTGAAAGTAGATAAGTCTTCATCGCTATTGACCTCCTGTAATACTTTGTCTATGGTGGGAAGTTCCTGCCTATCAAAAAATTGATGCGTCTGATGGCATTGCGATCAAAGTTGTCAACTGAATCCAACAGCTTCGTGTAATGCAGCCTCTTGTGTGGTGGATACAATTTTTTGTTGTTTTTTTTATATTCTTTAACAATGTTGAAAATGTTCTTAGGACATAAGCCTGTTCTGTTCGCCACACGTCTTTCAATATCATGAATTTTCATTTCAGGATGCTCCAAAATTTCGCTCTTATAAACGTTAAAGACAATTTCTTTTGCCTGAATATTCAAATGTCTCTTCTTGTCACGTTTTCGGGGAGGAGACATCACTGAAGAGGAAGCATGCCTGAAGGAAGCATTGGGAGAAATATTCTCAGTTTCATCTGCTATATCCGTAGACGACATGCTAACGTATAGACACACGCTATGTATGCACCGAATATGAACAGCAACTGCCGGCGTCGGCGTGCCGGCGATACCCCGAGCCTGAGTTATATCCTGTCGAGTCCTGCGCTTTTCCGTAGTTTTATGGCCCAATGACCAATAGCTATTGCAACGCTTAGACGGCTATCGCTTTGCCGCGCTACATCTTTGTTGTGCCGGGACGTAAATGGACTAGGAATGGCATTTTTATACTCTTTTTGAATTCATTAATTACAGAAAAAAATATCCATTACATATTGTTGCCGTGTAGTGTCATATGCCGATTGGCAAGTAATACAATGCCACACAAATACACACTTTTCGTATGCTTTTGGTCAGGTTTTTTTTGTTTCTAATCCACGCCTATGCATTCCCACGTGGGCACAGATAAAGTTCAATGAGTATTTCCCCTCCAGCCACAAAACATGATCACTATAACAAATATTCATATTACATACCTCAAAATAATTTTTCTGTTTTGGTACAGGTAAACAGCTGACTCACTTGTACCTAGGTACAATACAGTATTCGTAAGTCGAAGGTATGCCCCATTTTTATCGTAAATACGGAGCAGAGCAACGGTTGTAAATGGCGCAGAGCCGCACGGGCAGGCGCGATGGTACCTGGTGTGATGTGGCGTCATCACGAAGTCTCACGCTCCAACAAAATACTTCTTCAAATAAGAAATTTCTGGGTCATAACTTCGTCATTTTTTAAGATATTTAAAAAAGGTTTCAGTACCGTTTCACTTTACTCAGACTATCATTTTAAGTGTGTTTCAAAAATAGAAACTACCTCATTAGTTAAGTCCAAAAATGTAGGTTTATAGATTTTATTCAGTTTCTCTTAATTACAATGATCTCCTCTTATCACGTTTACGCATATACTCAATTTTTTGCGTCTTGAGATAGATAGTTCCAGCAGAAATATATGTTATAGAAATAATGTATAACCTTTGAACTTAATCGTCTAGAGTAGCAACATATACTGAGTGACAGAAAAAGGTAAACACTTACGTATGTTTATCCGATTTTAATAATGTTTGACATATATGTATGTTCAGTGTCCCTTACTAGTAAAATGATTAAATTTTTAGCTTGATCCGTCAACTGACTGCAAAACTGGTTCAATAGTGTGTTGAGGATCCACGATGTTTTTTACACTCATTGACCCGCCTAGGCATCGTGCTGATACAGTGGTCGATATCTTGTTCGGGTATCTCATTCCAGGCTACTGCAACTTCGTGAGTAAGAGCTGCTAAAGTCTGTGAAGGGTGTTGAAAATTCCTTTCATGTCCCAGGCATGTTCAATTGGAGATAGGTCAGACGATCGTGGTGGCCAAGGTAGACAGTTAATGCGATGTTGATCCATGCTCTGGCAACATGCGGCCTGGTATTGTCTTGCTGAATCGGGGATCGGGTTTTGGATGGTGTGTAGGTATATAACCCAATTTTTGTTACAGATCTGTTAACTAAAGAACTGGAGTCCGCCCAGACAAAACTGAAAGAAGTGGATGAAAACGTAAAAGAGAAAGAACTAGACACCAGCAAATCTTCAACAGTAACCTACGAAGAGTTGATTAGCGTGGAAGAGGAATTGGTGTTGATAAAGGAACGTTTCGCCCAGATCACCGAGGAAAAATTGAAGCTACAACGCGACCTGGTATCCATGACCGAGCAGTACCGCATGGTGTGCAACAGCAGCCACAACAAGTACTTTTTTTACGTAGCTCCGCTGGTATTTATGGTGCTGTACCTACTGATCAGCGCGATGATTTCCTGATTAACGGCCGTACTGTTGTTGTTCTTTTATTTCTTTATTGAGTTTTTGTTGAAGATTATAAACAGGACATAACGAAATCGAGTGGCGTTTGACTACAGTGGGTGGTTTGATGTCACTTATACGGTGCAACAGTTTCTGGGTCATCTTTTGTAGCGGAAAAAACTGTTTTTTTTTTCTGTTCGCCAGTGCCGTGGCTTGTTTCTATGAAAATATTTATTTTGGATGAATAAAACGTAGGCGATCTTTTTTGTATTGAAATGTCTTGCTGCACTGTATTACCAGCTCATTTGGAGGAGCTAAGGATCCTGTGTGGATAGAATCTCTATTTCAGTGACGTATGAACTAGAAATAGCAAAAATCTCAAGGCCTTTAGTACATAATTTTTTGTCCTTAAAGCTCAACAGTATCAGACAACTTGAACGGGGTTTAATTTGGGGCTTCAATCTGCAATGCTATCTAAAGTTACTGAGTGTACATAGTATAAAAAAGTTTGAAATGTACTGCATAGTATATGATGGTTTATAAGCATATTGGTTCCCTTTATCAAAGTTATAATGTATATCGGTGATTTGAAACACACTGAGCCACATATACCTTAGTACAAAGTGGTTCCCGTTTTTTAGCTTTCTGAAATCCTAGAAAAATACAAAACTCACGCGATAAACCATCGCTTGTTTGGTGATAAAGAACAACCCCTTTGTTCTCTTATTTTAATAATTTATTCGATGTATAATCTCAAGTAGTTTCCCAGTTATCAGAAGATCGCGTTCATGTTATATATACATGTTGGTTTACTGAATTGTTCGATTTTCCACTGCTGGGAACCATGGAATTTAAATCAGTGAAAAACCTCCTGCACTTCTAGTCTTTCTCACGGTATGTTACACAAAGAGATGCAACGACAAGTCTCTCCTCAATAACCCAAAATATTAGATCAAAATATTTACTCAATAACTAAATGCAAATTGTTATTTTTCTATACATTTTCGTGCCGTTGTCTTGTATTCATATAGTAGTAGTCAGTTTACTAGACGTAATTTGGTTTCACTGTACCATGTGGCTTTTCTGAAAATTCACGGGGAAGATATGGCAACTGAGCAAATTCAAAATATTGCAAAAATTAAAATAACATATACATACATATAATGGTAGAAAATAAAACACTAGTCGTCGTACACAGTCTTCTTAGAGATGCAAGGTTATGACGCATCGGTTTAGTTTTTAATAAGTTATGAACAGAAAGAACATGTAAGTCTATTGCTTATTATTTCTTTTTATGCCTGTCATTATATCGGATGCACTGTTCTACATATATAGAAGCCTTGATGTTTCTCAGCTCAGTAGAGCAAAAATCTGGGTTGAAAACAAACAAATTACCAACCATCAATGTGGCAATTTTCAGCAAATTTGTTCTTGCTGCTTTTACTAATCCAACGATTATGATTGTTTTTGTCAGTAACATGAGAAAACGACAACTACTTACGCTGATTAGGAGTTTCTTAGAAATAAATATTGAAAGAAGATACGCTGCTCCACGAGTGGCATACGGATGACGTTTCAGAGTTTACAATGTGTATGACGTCACATCATGGCCGATAGTGTTTCCATCGTTTCACATTAAAAATGAAAAATATATTTTTTTTTAAATTGAACATATATCCAACTTGCGCGTTTAATAATTGAAATCGATATATTTCTTTTTCCTAAACATAATACTGTAAAAAATACTTATTTATTTTATGAAATTAGATATTAGTCAAGTAGCATTTTCTATCAATCATGCTAAATAAATCCTGAAAAAAAACAAAATTACAATCAAGCAGTTGTCAAACTTGACAACTATATAAGTACGAAAGGCACGAACCTGTATTAGAAATGAGCGTGAGATATACGTGGCTCAATGTGTATACGACTTCGACTTCAGTTGCCTTGCTTTCTTGTTCCCACCAATCAACTGCCAGTTATTAATAAGAAGGCGGAATATAGATAGACTCTTTTGGTTTCCCAATACTTAACAAATACATGTGCAATAAAAAATCTGCGGCCTTGCGAACATATTTCTTGAATCTCTTAATCACTCGGGAAAGTATTCAATATCGCTACTGCATCATTTGAAAAACAAAACAGAAACGGAACAGTGGTACTTCTAACCGATTATCAATTATTTTTTGAGGATACGACCGAACGTTAGCTGAAGTGTCATAATGTCATCCACGTACGACTATGACATCTGTCGTCAACTGGTAGGCAACTGTAAACCGACTAGCCACAGTAATACCAACAGCCATGGAGCAACTGGAGGCGTCGCCGCTTTTCTGTGTGAACGGTTGTATTTGAATACGTCTATCTAGTCGTGTTGCGGTCGAGATGTAGTTGCCAGATGCTTTCGGTGAGAACAATCCCATAGGGGGACATAGCCCCCCCCTCCCCCCCCCGTTTAATAATAGTTATATAAAAGCATTATGTCGCAGTGATTTTACTTGTTATTCTATAAATGACAATGTCAAAATTGCAGATTCTCACTGATTAGGTTGAATGTAAAATTCCTACTAAACTTTTTACAACCCCCGACTGAAGATACACTTGCACAATATTTTCATTTCACATGATCCATATTTTACTTTTAGAAATCATTACAATAACTAATAAAACTGGCCTACGACTAAATGTAATTCACTATGCAATGACAATACAGTCTAAACATAAATATTATAAAGCCTAGATAGAACTCGCTGAACCCCATTTGCAACAAGTTTCCAATGGTTGCAATTGATTTCATGTAATAGATCACTAGATCATCAGCTACACACATACTATCATTTCTTTAATGCGCCCGTTTGAAAAGCTTGATGGTAATGGACGTGAATAGACTCACTAATAAGGTGTCTTGTATCCTAATAAAACATTCGGATGGCTAGCGGTAACGTTGCGACTATATATATGTTTCTACTTTTTATACTGTTGTAACTTTTGTAAAATTTTTCGACGCCTAAAAAAGTTAAGTATCCAATATACACAAGAGACAAGACGCACAAATAGCAAATACCTTGTAATCAGTATGCTTATATTCATTTGTACGAAGCATTAGTTCATTTGTATTATATTATGTCATAATACACATATTTATATCGAATTAGAGAGTTGGACAGCGCGTTTTTGTTATACGGAATGATCATAGGTTAATCATTAGTTGGATATTTGATAGCTTTTCAGTCATGCTGGTATTTTTACGTTTCAAAGTTATCAGGCGGTTGGAAAATAACATATCCGGGTACAGTTTTGAGTGCCTGTTGCCGTTCCTTCTGAATAAGATAGGGTGTATGAATTTATAAATAAAAGGTTTAGTTTTTCATCTATCAAGATCGAAAATACATCTAAATTTTATTATTTGAATTGATCTCAGTTTTCATTGTATAATCTGATTTGAAAATACTGATATACGATAAAAGAATTTTTATTTTGAATGTAGTAGTAAAACTCATTATTCCACCATCTCGTAAAGATGCACCTGCAACATTCACAAAAATTGTTGAGAATTTAGCAATATTAATGACACATCATAGATAGATCGCATATACAGTGTGAGATTTTAGTGTGGGCTCAGTAGATAACTGCATTATTACGCATGGTATCTAAAAAAAGTTAAACAAAATTTGTAAACAGTATACTTTGAAAATATTTTTTTTGTACAGAGTGGTCCACGTGGTGACCCAAACATACATTTTTTTAAATTTTATTGCAGATTCGGATAGGCGCTACCAAAGGAAGCAATTCAATGTGACATACCATATGGTTTTATTCCTAAATTGTTGAGATATTGGCCAAGACTTTGATAACTCGCATCTCCGCTAGACAGCTAGACTAATGGATTTTTTATTAGAAGAATTTCATGCTTCCAAATTTTCTTCCTGTGCACTTACTGTTCTAGTTTTTCCATAGACTATACAGCGGTTTTAAGAACGCAAATTGAACGATTTCTCCAAATGTTCATATGGGACACCCTGCATATGTTCACACTTTTTGATTTGCTTTTTCACATGCTTTTTTTCTGGTATAGGGTTTAAAGGAGTTTGTAAGAATGCTTTTGAGTTATAGTTAACATTTTTGTAAATCGGATATCAAGGTAAATGAAAAATAAAAATACCTTATATCGGGAAAAGGCCCGTGAAAGGAGGAATAAAAATTGTGAACATTTACAGGGTGTTCCGTTTGAAAACGTTCGTAACAAAAAAATTGTTAAAGTAAGATATGGAGAAAATATAGGTCTAAAAATTATTCTGACGAAAAATTAAAATGTCTAGTTATTACAGCTGTGGAGGTGTGAGTTTTTTTGGTAGATTTGACAATAAAATATGTTTGGAATGGCCTATCCGAATCTGCAATAAAATGTAGGTCTTTCCATTTAAAAAAAAATACGTTTGAGTCATCACGTAATTATGGATCACCCTGTAGAAATAAATATATTTTCCAAATAAGGAGGATACTGTCGGCTACAATTTTCGTAAATAACTTTTCTGGATACGAAGCGTAATAACGTTAAGTTATCGCCCGAGCCCAATTACGTTTGATTCTTGGCACGTATGACCGTCATAGAAGCCGGCATATTAAGGATTATCCAAAGATCCAAATCGTTTAAGGTTTAGCGGACATCAGTGTGAAATTTTTGACATTACCCAGAACCATTACAGTTTAAACTTGGTTGACTGAAGTTACCCGGGGGCCACTGTAGCTTCTCATTCATTACATCATATAAAATATTTAAGGTAAAATTATATACACACTATTCATAGGGCATGCTTGATTCGTCCTTTGTATAAAATTTTATATGTTCATACGCATTATGATGATATTAAATAAATTGTAGACATAAGTTATTGCGACTGATATTTTTAAAATTAATGGTTGAACAGCAATTCTGGTAAACAATCTATATGTTCAAGTTATGATAAAAGTACAACTAGTGTACAATAATTGCAAATCGTACTAAATAAACGACAGATATAAATGCCAAAATACTGTGTACCTAAAAAAGTTAAAACGATCTCGTTTTTAAAAAAATCTTTTATGATAAGTATTTAGCCTGTCGCAAGGATAACTAAAACAAGATCTTTATTATTATGAAAAACGATATGTTTGTTCTGTTCAGTGATATTTTTCGCCCAACAAAACTGAGCCCCAAATCTCAAGTTGACCTTCAAGTTACTTTCTGGAACAATGACGTATTATGCTAGCTTTTTTGAGAACTATATTTTTTTAATTAACTCGATATACTTGTCATATCTTACGTCTGATTAAGTACGCGTATTTTCTTGGAAATCGTATGCTCAGTTTATAGTAAAACATGGTAGATACATTATAACACTTCTATCGAAAATATTTTAAAGATTTAATGAACAAAATGCCATAATGTACGAAGTTATATTTATGCTAACAATGTAGAGTACATGTGTATAGCGTATTTAGAATTGAGATATAACATTTTGTGATTCGTCGTATTGGAAAAAGAGAAATAATTGATTATTTTAACGTTATCTGTTCGTGAATTCTACATTTCAGGTACAATAAGCTGAAATTGGAATGTTTGAAGAGCAGACTACTCTGTAGTGAGAATTTATTGATTGTATTTTATGTTAGAACAGATAGTTTAATATATTCTTTTTCTGTTTATAGCCATTTCTGTATATATTACGATTATGTATTTAAATAAATATTATGGAACACTAGAATGCATTGCATTTTATTCATCAGTTTTTGAAGCAGTGTGCTTGTTGTAGAGTAATGAGTAGAGTCCTGGAGTCTAATATAAAATATTATTCTCAAGGGTAATCATCCATGCATCTGCAATCTGTAAAGAACTCTTCGTTTACACATTTATTTTTTAATGAATTTTCTGTAATTTTACATTCTTGCCTAATAAATTTGCATCACTATGCGTTTGGAGTATTCATAAGGTAATTTTTAATATCAATATTAAATTCAAATACTCCCTTTTGAAATACAGATTTGCTAGATAGGCTATTATCAGTCTTGCGAAATTCAAGCTTTCGGTCATGCCAATGAAACTTTCAATTTTCAAGTGCTTCCTGTAAACTTGTTTGATCACCATATTGCGACATACTAGAATCGTACCATGAACGTCATATATGCTATGTTACACTCTACACATAATTGGCAACGTCGGCAAAACAGGTACATACGCAAAAAAGTTATGTCTTAAAACCGAGGAAAAATGCTGGTTTTGGCACTTGTTGCTAATGCGACGACAATTTCACGCAGCTTCTTGAAATTCTTCGAATCCGGAGGCTTCATACTTCTTAATAACCACAACAAAATTTGTGTCGATTGGTCAAGTAGTTTTTGAGAATTTATAATTGTTTATCACAAAACACATGTCTTCCGGCCATCACTACTAGTTTACTGAGCAATATACAGCGTTCATTCAAAGGGCATGTTATAGCAAAATACGCGAGTTTACTGTGCCGACATGAATCACAAACCATTCAGGTCTTTTTCGATGCGAAGGGAATCGCGCACCACGAGTTTGTACCCCTGGCCAGACCGTCAATGCTCAATTTTACAAAGAAGTTCTTCAAAGACTGAACCACAGTCTCGCCCGCGTCCAAAGAGGAATTCGCCGGTCGTCATGGAAACTGCACCACGACAATGCACCGTCCCATACCGCCTCTGTTACCGTCGCCTAATTGACCCGGATCGATGTCACGATGGTGCCCCAGCTACCGTACAGTCCCGATCTGCCCTCAGCGGACTTCTTTTTGTTTCATCGTCTAAAAAGCGACCTCAAAGGACAGCATCTGGACACCCTAGACAACATTCAAGCTACTTTGACGGCCTCCCTAAACAGCATCCCAGTCTGGGAGTTCCAGGGAGCATAGGCGGCTTGAAAATCACGATGACAAAAGTGTATTGACGCAGGAGGGTACTGCTTGAAGAATATTGAGTTTTCATATTTACTTGAATGATTAATACATTTTTTAAAAAAATGCATTTCCATTGTTGGCACCAAGCCCAAAATTCCAGATCTTCATTTTCAAAAATTCTGACAATATTACCCATCAATCTTTAATTCACTGAGTGGAAATATTTTCTTTCACTAAAAAATCAAGGACTAATTCTTTAGTTTATTCGAAGATTTCTTTGTCCTTAAATCGTTTTTGAAAAACGCCTTCGTTTATGTACAGGGGAATCAAAATTTTGAAAACGTAACGTATCGCAACACTTCAATCTTATTATATTTGTGTTCTTGTCATGCGATTGTAACTGTTATCTCACGGAAGATCTATTTTAGTAGACTTCATTCGATACTAGGATAATTAATAAACAGGGTGGTGAAAAAGAGAACATAGTAAAAATTGAGCTTCAAAAAGTATTTTTTTCCTTATGGAACTACCTGTATTTATGATTTACACTGTAAAACAATAAAACTATAGCTTTCTATAGAATTGTCGAAAGATAGTGTTTTCTGAAATATTTGAAAATTTTAATTTTTCAAAAAGGACAAGGACCTCCACAGACTGCGTGGACGTGCTAAGGGGAATTCTCCATGTGCGTGCGAACCAGCTTTTATAAAAGGTGTCAATATGTTATACCGAACATTTTATTTATATTCATTTATTTAACCAGATATTGGAAAACATCAATAACAAGAGTACCATACAATGAAAAAAGCTACGAAAATAGTACGAGCGTAACTTTTTTGACATGCACCAGCTTTTATAGCCGTTTGCATGCCGAAACGCTCGCTAGAACTGTTCCATCCGCCTTTCCTCCCGAAGTATGAGAGTGATACCCTTAATAACGTAGTATTTGTATACTCATGCTGTTTTCACTTGTTCCAGGGACTAGAGCAGATTGCTAAAATGTAAGTGCATTTAGGGTTTTCGTATTGGGTTCACAGCCGAACACGAGCAAGAGCTGCGAGATTGATCTACTGGCTGTATGAGGTACAAGTCCCTTATTCAACCGGTTTGTTAGTATGAACTGAGACATTTTGCGAAAGAGGTCGACTAGCCTTTTTATTCTCGGTAGGCTATCGATTATGTCTTGAATTTATCGGAGCATTGCACATAGCTTCGAGAAAATTTAAATCCATGAGCGGCAGGATAGAATTGGAAGGGGGCGTCTTCAATGTTCCTTCGGTTTCTACACTACCATAGGATAGAAAAGCGTCGGTTCAGTTGAAAAGTTAGGACAAATAACAAAACGGTTGCAAACTTTCAAAGTAGAGAGAATCGAAATTGTCATATAAAACATGAGCTTCAAGAAAAAAGTTTACGTCAGAGAACTCCAATTAAGAGGTCGGGAGTAGCGAGTAGCTTGGGAAAGGTTAGGGAATTTTGTTTGGGTACTCTGCGGTGTGGGGGCACTTCGAGGGATACAGACAATTCTCCACCATGCCCTTGCTTAGAGCATACAGGTGCGCATCGAGGGATTCAAACACTCATCATGCCCTTGCGCAAAGCATGCAGGTTCACAGGGATAAGAGCAGTTTGCTTAAATGTAAGTGCACTTAGGATTTTCGTATTGGTGTTGGCTTCGCAGCCGAACATTAGCGAGAGCTGCGAAATTGATAAACCTACCTTTTGGTCTGTAGAACCATTGTCTTTTTTGGGGTTGGAAGAAGACTTTGGGGAACCGAATTTTGACTTGTAAGATTGATCGACTTCATCGATCTATCTCGCTTGTCGCTACTGACTAATTTGGCCCAATGCGACGAGTGAGCAATGTTGACGAATGTGGCGGACGACTCTTGATACTGCCCTCGCTCAGACAGGGTGCCCCATTTAGATACTTAGGGATCACCAGGATAAAGCGTCAGTTCAGTAGAAAAGTAAGGAAAAATAATAAAATGCTATCACACGGAGTCATATAAAACATACGCTTCAGGAAAACCCTTTACGTCAAAGAACTTCAAGTAAATGGTCAGGCGTAGCGAGTAGCTAGGAAAATGTTGGGAAATTTTGTTTGAGCACTCTGCGATGTGGGGCACATTGATGGATACAGACAACTCTTCATCATGCTCTTGCAGAGAGGGGAAAGTTAAGGAAGGAATTCCCCTGGGTCCATGGCCGAGCTGTTAAACATTTATCCAGAATTTAAAAGCATACTGCTAAGTATAAATATGGTGTCTTTCATAGGTCTGTAATGGCTGTATAGGCAGCTGTTTCGAAGAATGTTCTGCCTGGATAGCTAGATGAATGTTGTTGAATAAAGATAGACGTTGAATAGGAACAATAGAAAAAGAATGAATAAAGTTCCGATTTATAGTATGCTACAATACATGGACACAGCAATCAAATAAACATCAACATTTTCACAGGGTAAGCATTGGAGAGTATGGCATCAAGAAGGTTGGTTTTGTACTTCATGAACCACCGAAGAATAGATAGAACTGTTAAAGCATTCCACTCAAACTATACTTAAATAAATAAATACAGAGCCAACCTACTTGATGTTTCAAAATAGCAGAGGTGTTATTTAAATGGGAATACTTATGTGAACTCTCTTTGTAGATAAATCTGTGG